TAAAAATAGAAAGTAGATATTTTACAACGAAGGAACTTTTATCACATAGTAGATTTCAGTCAGCAGACATTAAGTATTGTACTCTTTTGCATTCCTGTACTGTATGATCTGCTGTGTACTGTATGTTGGTGTATGACTTTTTTAAAAAAATTTATATTTTTGTTGACCATACAGTAAAGGAGTGCAAAAGAGTACAGTACTGAATGTCTATATACTCAGTAGTTTTGCAGATTTAATTGGTGTTCAAACGCAAAAATAACGATGAATTTCCACCATACTTGCTAATGCTGCTGTTTGTAAGAACAATTATTTATAGAAAAAAAGATAGCGACAAAATTTAATATTTTAATTTCGATCTTAAAAACAAAAGTAAAAAAGATATATACCATTTACCAAATATCACAGTATCGATTTGACGTCAGTCGTGAATTTATCATGCAATTAAATTGCATTTTTACAAGTATGGCACCCTAATCATTTTTTGCTCTGCCAAAAGATAACTCTTCGGACAACCTTCGAAATTCAGAACATACAATGTTGACAAGCTTGTTTATTAAGATTATTTAAGATTTAAAATTTAGGGTTATTCTTAACTCATTGTCGAGAGCTTGAACTATTCCTTTGAATTATTTTGTTATAGCACACGAAATACTAAATAAAATATTATAGATTCTCTTAAATATAATCACTCAAACATTAAGCAACACTTATAATTTGCAAAAAAAAAAAAAAAAAATAGAAAAATATTGATTTTCTTATTTTGCATAATAAACAAAAGGCAAGAAAGTTTTTTATTTTGACTACTCTTTTCTAGAACCATCATCATCTTATAATTCTTGTGATTCAAGTTATTCCTTTTCTTTCTGCCAACAAGAGATCAATAGTAAAATGACGCCAGTTAAAATTAACCATGTTGTTTGCATATTGGAAAACTTGGAGACAGAGAGTATGATGGGGCGATTAACTTTTGTGGGGAAAAAATTGAAATGAGTAACACAAAAATCTCTCGAGTATAAGCACCGCCCAACATAGTGCTTATATTCGAGAGAATACGATATATGCAAAAAATGTAAGAGATTTTATCAATGTCATATGAGATTTTTAATAATGCATAAGGACATCCAGCAAAGGGTTTCATCATTAAATCTTATAAGAAATAATATATTTCGACATTTAACTCCAAATGATATCATCCATCTTGTGGAAGATAATATTATATTGGGTTTAACCAGCAATAAATTTTAATTAATGTCATATGCCCCAAACAGAAAAGTTTTTGAGGTGAGTAAAAACAATCAGTGTCTCCTCTCACTTTTGTATATATCATACTCCTAATTAATATTAACAATGAGAGTCCATATTTGGTTTCCATTTCCGATTTAATGAATTAGAATTTGATAAATGTTACCTAAAATATAAGTTTACTCTTTTCCGAGAAGGTATCCTAACATTAACTATTTAAAGAATCTCGATAGAATATTCAATAAAACCACACACATCTTATAAACCCCGGCATACTTCAAATCCAGAGATGAAGTTCATTTTTTTAGAAGAGGAATAAATACACATTTTGCCTCGGATCTACATATATGATCCGTCATTAAATTGCACAATTTTAGAGATAGTTATGTGATGAGATAAATAAATATAATTATGAAAAAAAAAAAATTAAATATAAAAAGAGAAATTTTTTTTGTTAAATTGTTTTGAAAATATAAAAGAAAAATTTTCTGCGATTGTAAATAAATACCTATACATGTACATATCATAATATAAGCTCGCAAATATGACATTAAATGACACAACTACTATTACTGGTGAAAGCACCGAGATTTATGATGACATTATTTTCGTTAACGATGCCGATGCTAATGACAATCTTAATGTTAATGCTATTGTTGACGATGATTATATTAATGTTAATGCCGATGTCAATGTTAATGAAAAGTTGCAAAAAATGCCGCCAAATTTAAATATTGTTGACAAATTTCTTGGGGAATACAATGACGACAACGACAACAATAATAATGTTTTAATACCATCTCAGTATCAATATCAACAATTGTTAAATAATGCTTATCTAGTACTACAACAACAAACATCTCCTGCCTCTATCACCACAACTGCATCCGCAATGAATTATTTTCCCAATGTGATGGTTGCAGAAACACCATCACGTCCCTTAATTCAGAATAATTACTTGTTAACACCAGAGTGCATTTTATCTCCCTCCATAGCTCAGAAAATTCCTATAACAACACCATTAATATCTCCTACCACAATTGTCTCGCCCGCAACTACCGCAACTATGTCTACTGCAACATCATCAGATTTATCAGAAACAAGCTCAAGTTCATCGTCATTGACACCATTATCGCCATCACCATCTTCGTCAAGAACAAGAACAAGAACAAGAACAAGAACGACACGATCTTCTTCAACTTCTTCAGTTTCTACTTCTGCAACGACAACAACGATAACTCCACCAAGTCCGTATCAATATCCAAATCATAATTGTGATGATCCAAGCTATTTACCGAAAGTAACTAACCCAACTGACGATGAAAAACGTCGACGTAACACATTAGCATCGGCAAAATTTCGTAATAAAAGGAGAATGAAGGAACAAGAATTAGAACGTATAGCTAGGGAGATGACAGAGAAAGCTGAATTTCTTGAGTGTAGAGTTAAAGAACTTGAGAGCGAAGTTAAGCTATTGAGAGGTTTAATTATTGATATTGATTCTAGTCGATTAAATGGTTCAAGTCATAATAATCGTCCAATTAACATTGGCAGTGATAATGATTCAATCTCTAGAAATAATCAATTATCAAAAAATATAATGATTGATGATGATTATATTGATGATAATAATAGCGATGGTGTTGGTAATAGTCGTGTGGCAACGACAACAACTAACATTTTCTAAAAAAAAAATTTCAATAAATTAATAATCGAAAAAAATTTATCCGTAATAATAATTCTATTTTTCATTTTGTTTTTTATTTTATTTTATTCGAATTTACGCGATTCATTTTGGGGGTGGGTTTCTAAGCATAATTATGTTTATTCGTGAACAGTTTTTAAATTAAGAAAAATATATAAGGAAAAATTTGTATGTTTTTATTATTACTATTACTATGTATTTCATTTCTATGATTTAAAATTTTTTTTATAAGAAATTTAAAATACTAAATATTATACTTTATAAATTAATAAAAGTTAACTCGAAATACTTTTAAATAATAATAATTCCTTTCCTTGACTGCAAATAATTAAAAATGGTTAAATCATTATTAAGATTGGCCAATTATTAATTCTATTTCATCACAATTTAATTATGTCAAATAATAAATTTACCCTCGTGACACTAGCATTATGGGCGGCTAGCCAATAACGATACACTTTATCTTATAAAATAAATGATCAAATATACAAACTCATTCATTACATGGATTCCAGAGATCTTCATAATACTCGGTAACATAATCAAAGCAAGATCGGTATATACGCAAGATATTATGGAAACATATATGCAAATTAAATGCCAATAGCTTGGAATTTGAAAGTTTTAACAACAAGATTTCTTGGTTCTGATTATCTTCAAATACTTGCAATTGTCATATTATAAAAATTCCAAAATATTTGTTACACCATTATTTTAATCACAATGACAACGAAGATAACAATGACGATGACAACAACAAAGACGATGACAACAACAACAACAACAACAACAACAATGCAAGTTGAACTTTAACAATAAAAAAAATATCAGTTGGCACCATTTCAAATTATTTCACATTTGTGTGGCCAATTGCTGAGCAAGAAGGAATTGTATAAGCTTATGAAATACCTAATTACAGTTAGGGATTTTACCAAATTTGGAAATCGATTTCGGCCTCATTCGTTGGGGCAGTGTTGTGCCATTTATGGTTCCAATAAAATTTCATTGGAACATTTAAACAAATTCCAATTGGAATTGGAATGTTCCAAATGTGGTTCCAATGGAGTTAACCAATGAAATTCAATTACAGTGACACCCACACAATTTTTATTGGTCAATATCAATTGAAGGTCTACATTGGAACCACATTGGAACATTCCAATAGTGTTACAATGTTCCAATTGCACAACACTGCAGTTGAATATCTTTTGTGATAATATTTGCTTAAATTATGGTGTAGAAAATTTGTCCAATATCCAATATTAATATAATGGATATCTTCCTTATAATTTAACATAGTTTCTCTTCTGTTTTTTTATTACTTCAATTATCACATTTACAACTATTGAATTCAAGTTCACTAGTTGATGGAGTAAGCCGACTCATGTTTTCGGAGACTTTTATTATTATATTCTGACTAATGACATCCAATCAATGTTGGCTGTTTGTGATAAAATTTCATCGACTGTGGGAATAAGCAAAATTTGACAGAGTTCAACCTCTACAAAATGTTGCTTGTATTTAGTTTTACACCACCCTCTGAAATTGTTTCAACAAAAATGTAAGCTCTGGTAAAATTATGCATAAATCATGATAATACACATATAGTTTTTTATTGCTTCTAATCTCTGGTATAATTGAAGAATAAATGTAAGAATTGTCCATGGTAGCTTGTTTTTTTTCCTTCAATGTTTATGGCTGTTAACTACACCAAACATGGAGATTATGTTTCAATATTTGTTGAATTTGTTTTATTATCTTTTTTACTATCTTTTATTATTAGTGAGAGTAGTTCATCTATCTGATCCTCTGAATTCTTCCCCACCACATTTTTGAAATGGTCAGGATAACTATTGTTTTGTTGATATTTATCATCATCTTCTTTGTCTTTAGAAAGAAATGATATTCTTTTTGCTTTGGTTAAATTTTTACCAATGCATCAGAAGGATTTTCTTTCTGTATTTTTGAATTCTTTTTCTTTTCACTTTATCTAAATTTTTAATGCTTACTTGTTTTCGCTTAATAATTGTAATATTCCAGCTTTAGTGTAATATCATCTCATAGCTTTTTCAATCGAGTCCAATGCTTCTTCACATTTACCTGCATTCTTTTGAGAAATAGCTTTATGATAATAAAGATCACACAAGCGATTATTTCCACAAGCTTGTTTTTTGCCCAATTCTATTGCCTTATCAAAAAAAAATCTATAGCATCTTTGGATTCTCCTGCTATTTCTAAAACTTTCCCTCCCATTCCATAATACTTTGCGGCATTTTCAAAATCCGCTATAGAACTATCAAAACCTGACTCATCTGGCTTATGCAAGAGAGGATATAAGCATATGTAAGTATTTAGCTGATAATTTATCTTAATAATTTTTTCTAAGCTGGTTATATAATTGCGTTTTATTATTTCAAAATTAAACTTTAATTTTAACTTTATCATGATGATGTTTTTCTCCTACCCCAAAACAAATTAT